TCTTTAGGGAAATCGCTAAGTAGCGAAACAAGGATGTCTAAAAATTGATCATGTTCAATTGAAGATTTTTTTTGTAAATGTGAGTAGCGGACTTATTCACTAGAAACAAAAGAGGAATTTCCATAAATTATCCGTTGAAGTTAGAGAAACTATGATATCTTCGTTATTGGGAACTGTGTGGTTTAGCCAGGGTGGAGAGTGGTGGTTGCCCCCCCCTCCCTCCCATCCCGTATTTGTTAGATAATTTTACGCTAATTTTTTAACTGAAAGCTTTTTAAGACTTTGCTATAAAAAGTGGATAAAGCTTTTTAAGACTTTGCTATAAAAGAAATGGAAAAAGATTTTTAAAATTTTGCTATAAAAAAGTGGATAGAATATAGTTGCTAAAATGCTAATAAAATGTTTTATATGCTTTTTTTTACACTGTGTGCCCCTGCATATGAAGATCAACGCTTGATCTTGATATTTTGTTAATCTGCAGATTAATTTAATCTTTATTCGATATCCCGCATGGTAATCGTACCCTATCAGGGGTTGAAGGGAGCTTTGATCAAGGGAGGAATAACTAAAAATGAACATATGGAAAGTCTTTTTACAGAACCTCAAATTTAAAGTGCCCACAGTGGATAACGAAATTAAGCGATTGGGTTATGAGTATCCAACAAAAAAGTGCCCAGCTCAATATATATTTTTAAAATAATCCGTTAAAAATTATAAAATCCTAATCCAATTTTTATAATTAAAACAAGAAATGCTTTCATTCCCCTTTTGTCCTGTTTTCCCTGTAGAAGTTCTATTTTGTTTTTTAGGATCGAGCTTTGCCACATTTCGAGCGTAAATCTAAGATACCGGCAGCCAAGGGTTTCGTGGAAAACAGTTTCTATTCCGGGCTCACACCAACAGAATTCTTCTTTCATACAATGGGAGGAAGGTGAGGACGACATTTTTTTATATTATCGAAGATTGGGGAAACGATTTTTCTAATCTAAAAATCATATTATCGTATGGTTTTTTGTAACACATGAGTAGCGCGCTCTGTCTGAATGTGTAATGGCCAATATATGATCTATAATTTTATAATATTTACCTCTTTAAGAGATTGAATAAACCCTTTCTACTTTGTCAAAAACTATAGGAATTAAACTACTACTCTTTTTCTATTTATTGATCTCTCTAATCATGTTTGAATCTTAAACTCTACCACTCTGTCTTAAACCATCTCATGGCTATCCAACTATAGATAAATAAATAAACATAGATAGCTTATGTACGCAAAATCAACAAGAATTGTACAGTCCGCGAACTCATACTTCTAGGGGTCAAAGTGTAATTCAATGATAAGCGGGGTAGTTTGGTGTTTTAATGGATTTCATAATTATTAAATCACTCAGGAACTATTTGAAGAACAATATTTCACTGAGCAATATATTATATTGACGAGAACTGAAGAAGGACATGAGAAGGACTAAACTAACTTAAATTTCTCTCTACAGAACTCATGTACACCACAAGAACTCAATGAAATAAGAGTAGCCAATGTTCACAACCGACCTAGTTAATCTATATAATAGGAATATCTTTAAAACATCTCTGTACATTGATATCTTTCAAAATGAAAAATGCAATCTATCTTTATCTATGTATCCAACCTATCGCTTCTGAATGAAAAAGATTTACCTTTTAACAAACTTCTATAAACAATGTAGCAGAGTTAAAATACAGACTGCAAGAATGGGTTAAGAACCCTTTTATACCCAAGCGCGCCAAGTAAACTAAAGAGGACAAACTAAATGTGGCAACTTTTATAAGGCAAACTAAAGAAGGTGAACTGAAGAGGGCAAATTTAAGAAGGAAAACTTAAGAGGGCAAACTAAAGAAGGCAAATATAACAAGGCAAATTTAACAAGGCAAATTAAAGAAGGCAAACTAAAGAAGGCAAACTAAAGAAGGCAAACTAAAGGAGGCAAACTTAAGAGGGCAAACTTAGGGAGGCAAACTTGAGAGATACAGAAATTTGTCTGTTCTGGGCCGACTGCGTAGGTTAAGCCTCACTCTTTGGACAATGATTTTTCCTTTTTAGGGAGGGGTTGGTTGACACAGCTGTTAAAACAGCTGAGACTGGATATATGCAGCGTAGGCTGGTCAAATCTCTGGAGGACTTATGTATGCAGTACGATCTTACTGTCAGGAACAGTAGCGGGGAGGTAAATAGATATTATTCGTAGATTTTATAGATTGTTTCCCGTTTCTCCCGTTTAACAAAGATACCCTTTAAATAATATGAGCAACACTGGGGAAAATACAGGCGCTTCTCCATCTTTAAACATGTTAAATTATGACAATTTCCTTAATTGACTTATGCATAAATCCATAAGTCTACAATCGTAAATAATCAATTTACAACTAGAAAAAGAGGATATCTTGTTCATCAGGCAACGGTTTAAATGGTACCGTTGTGAATGCCCCTCTTTAAATAAAAGGTTACTTGTAATTACGTCTGTAGTAGACCTAATCTACACTTAAATGATTAATTAAAATTTTCATTGATACCCTGTAACGGTTCTGTAAAAATTTGTTTTCATTTTGATTAAATTTTATTTAGGTTATTCAGTTTGAGTATGGAGGGGATGGTTTAGATCCAATGATGATGGAGGAAAAGAATTCAAATTTTGAAAAAAAATTATTTTTTGTAACACTAAAAATTTTTCAATCAGAATTAACGATCTTTAAATAATTTCGGTGATAAACAATATGTTTTTGAATTAGCGATCATGATAAATACCACCTTTAAATATCTCTGTATTTCGCCATTTAATCAAAACTTTCATTTTCCTCCAATCTGCATTCGAATAAAATGCTATTTTAACATTTCCGCCATTTTGTATTTGCCGCCATTTTGATACTTCCGCCATTTTGACATTAAAAAACTGGATTCTACAGGGTCGAGATAAACCAGTAGATTTATCGAGAATCCTGGATCTGATAACACACACACACCCGGCCCGACAGGAACATACTATTGCTTGATATATTGTTGTACAGGGTGTACCTCAAGGAAGGAGGGGTCTTTTTTGTCTTTTTCAGTTTAGATACAAAGGTTTGGTTTGGGGGTTAATCGTAGATAGTCGGACGTTCTTTAAAGTCTTATTTGATCAAAAGTCTGGTTTGAATTAAATAAATCAAAGCTAAAGGTTTAGTTCGGTTTGGTTTATAACAACAGTTTGGTTTGGTTTGGTTAAAAACAAAGGTTTGGTTTGGTTAACAACATCGGTTAGGTTTGGTAAACAAAACAGGTTTGGTTTGGTCAAGAACAATTGTTTTTAATTTGGTTTGGGTAACAACGAAGGTTTGGTTTGGTTTAAAGCATTGATTTGGTTTGGTTTATAACAATTGTTTGGTTTGGAATTGGTTTATGACAATGGTTTTGTTTTGTTAGGAAGAAAACCTTTCGAAACCGGAAATTTTGTCTCTCCTAGAGAAATTGGAGGAATCAGAATTAAAAAAGGTAGATGATCTCTTATATATGTATAAAAAAAACTTTAAACGAACTTTATAATTAAATATGTACGCAAAGTATACGCGACCGCAATTAACTTTCCTTGAATTAGTACCTAGCCTTAGACTAAAATTGAATTTGAATTTATAAGGTTACTGACCCCTCATTGATCAACAAATAAATTGAGTTTTTGCCACCAACTAAAATTTTCTAACCCCTATATCTTTGCAATTTAATGTGTAAACCTTTGTTATTTCAAACTTAGACTTTTTGATCTAACAGAACTCAAAGTTTGAAATATCTAAGATTTAGGACATCGGGTTCCAGAGAAAAGGAAAAATAGATTTGAGATTGTGGAAAAAAACTCATTTCCTGTTAAAGATTTAAAGTTGAAACTCTGATATTTAGCTAATAAGAAACGGATACAGGAAAGGCTCATCAGCGGTACAATAACTTTAACTCATTCCGTCCGTTTAAAATTCCTGCCTCTAATCATTTTCATGCAGATTTATTTTTAATATTTTGGAAAGATTTTCCAGATTCTTTATCTTTGTGTACTGCAGGTTGGAGGAGACTTCAGGGATGAGATTAAACAGTTTATCAGCAGTTTCGCAGACAAGGTCAGAATATTGGATATAATATCCTTTTTTTAACAGTTTATGTTACAAGGCATAATAACACATTGGTGGCAAGGCTCAGTTGGGTTTCAATTGTGAATACGGAGTGATTAAGATCTCCTGTTTATGTGAACTAAATGACTCTTATACATTTTATAATGGAAATTGGTCTGTGTACATTGCACAGTGCTCAGTCATTGTGAATCATGTTGACTTGAATATTTGAAATAATGACGGAATTATTACAAACCTTGTACAGGTTTCATTTTATTAAGTAAATCAAAAATGTCTTTATATTTTTGTAATCTTGTAATATATATGGAGTAACTTCAAGAAGTAGGAGTAGACTCAATAGTACAAAGAGAGTAGAAAATGAAAATGCACTTTCAGTTTACATTAACATGATGGTTAATTTCTGTCCCTAATATCAATCAATTAACATATGGAATCGTATTGGATGGAATTATATAGACTCCTGCACAATATACATAAAGTTTGATCTTTGTTCTAGGTTGAGGAAAGATGGAAGAGGTTGGGAGTTGACCGGCCTTCAGGGATAGAGAAGCAGGTCAATAGACTGACCCATCAGCAGCTCACTGTATTCATAGGTAGGATTAGAGATAAGAGAGTACAGAGACCTATTTAAGGCTAGAATATGCGATATTTTTGTACATCAGGTTCCATTGTATACGACTGGGAGTACACGACCAATAAGCAGACGTCTGTATTCAGAGATATTTAAGGATCCTTTGAATACGAAATACAAAACCTTTTAAAATTCATAAATTTTTTTAAATAACCCTTGCATGGTTATTATATGCAATAAGTGGCGGTTAGATGACCTTTTGTAAGAATATAGCATGCCGTGCCGGTATGACTACAGGCCTACTTAGCCCAGCCCTTAAAAGTTGACTAGCATTCTTTAAGTGTGATATTCATTTTCAATCTATTTCATTTTGAAACGTTTTTATCGAGTACAATAAGTGGCAATGAGATTTACAAGTAATTTATCATGATGTCGTTGTATAGGTGTCATATATGAAATGGTGTCATACATGTGATTCATTTCAAGCCCGTTCTTAATGTAAAGGGCATGAAATAAAACAGTTATTGTAAGAAAAGAAAGTACACAAAACTGCATTAAATTATCATCATTAAATGTATCAACTTTTTTTTTTGAATATTTTGTCTTAATACTGAAATTGAAATTTTCCCGTCAGACGTAAATAACGCTGTACTGATGACTATGTATACGTATTCACCAGTGCCAATTCTTATTCTTGATAAATATTAATAATTATCNACGATGATAAAAATCATGATACTGATGATAATGATAATGATGATAATGATGAATTATATACACAATAAAAATTATAAAAGAAAATCATGATACTATCTCCTTAGGTGAGCCTGGAACCCAGATGACACTGAAAACGTTCCATTTTGCTGGAGTAGCCAGTATGAATATCACTCTTGGGGTTCCCAGGTATAATATACACCAGGGCTGTGTCAGTGTTAAGGATCCATTTTCTTTTGATGCAGATCCAGATCCTGGATCCGCTCAGGAAATAAATTTTATCTTGATTCGGATCTAGGTCAGAAACATTTCTTTAAGATTTACTGATTTTTCTTCCAGTAGAAAAAAAGCTTTAATATTTTGTTTTCTTCTTTTTGCTTATATTTATGATAAGACTGGATGAACCGTTTAAAGATAAGAAAATTATTGCACGGAAATCCATAGGGAAATCATATCAGATTCTTTTGGAACTTTAAAGGTTTAAAAGTCCTTGCATGTTTATAAACTATCCCAAAAACTGTGGCCATTTCTGCTCTTGTTCAGGATAAAAGAGATAATAAACGCCTCTAAAAAGATCTCAACGCCCATTGTTACCGCTCATCTTGAAGACCCGCTTGATCCAGAGTTTGCCAGGTTAGTTAATCAATACTCTATCTCAGGGGGTGGAGCGTCAAACAACTATTATTCGCTAAATTTAGAGTTTTTTTCGCTAAATTTAGAGTTTTATTTGCTAAACTTAGAGTTTTATTCGCTAAATTTAGAGTTTTATTCGCTAAATTGGGGGAAAATAAATAATTTTACGAAGAAAACTTGTAATTTAAGTGAGAAAATAAAATCCTCAATAATCAACTTAATTAGAGCTGGTAACTTTTAAATGGTCGGATTGGGTTTAACTCTTTCTCTTTTCATGAGGGGATTAATCTATTTCTCATTGCTCAACCCCTTTTTCATCCTTTTTATTACTCAAAAAATAATAAATTTGTCTTTTATTTTAAAAAAACCTTTTTTATCCCTAATACAGTAAAATTAAAATTATTTTAAAAAAGGGGGTTGAGTAATGGAAAGAATGATAATATTAATAATAATGATAATTAGGAGAGTGAAGGGTAGAATAGAAAAGACCTGTCTAGGAGAAGTATCAGAATATATTGAAGAAGTTTTACTTCCTGACGAGTGTTTTCTTCTAATCAGGTATTTACTCCCCCCCCCGCATCCTCTCTATCTAGTTATCTCTATTTATCTATCTTTCTTCCGATCTATTTATCTTTTTATCTATCTATCTATCTATCTTGACAATTTTTAAGATTAAATTTATATACCCGTAGATATACTAGAATTCCGACAATATATAATTAGGAAACGGTTAAAGCACCAACATCTAACTATTGAATGGATTTAGGTAAGCTGCTTATCTAGATTATCTATTGAACAAATTAAGGTAAACTGCTTATCTAGATTATCTATTGAACGGATAAAGTTTATCTATTTATTTAGATTATCTATTGAACGGATTAAGGTTATCTATTTATCTAGATTATCTATTGAACGGATTAAGGTTATCTATTTATCTAGATTATCTATTGAACGGATTAAGGTTATCTATTTATCTAGATTATCTATTGAACGGATTAAGGTTATCTATTTATCTAGATTATCTATTGAACGGATTAAGGTTATCTATTTATCTAGATTATCTATTGAACGGATTAAGGTTATCTATTTATCTAGATTATCTATTGAACGGATTAAGTTTATCTATTTATCTAGATTATCTATTGAATGGATTAAGTTTATCTATTTATCTAGATTATCTATTGAACGGATTGAGATTATCTTTTTTACTAGATTATCTATTGAACGGATTTAGGTAAACTGCTTATCTAGATTATCTATTGAACAAATTAAGGTAAACTGCTTATCTAGATTATCTATTGAACGGATAAAGTTTATCTATTTATCTAGATTATCATTGAACGGATTAAGTTTATCAATTTATCTAGATTATCTATTGAACGGATTAAGGTTATTTATTTATCTAGATTATCTATTGAATGGATTAAGTTTATCTATTTATCTAGATTATCTATTGAACGGATTGAGTTTATTTTTTTTATTAGGTTATCTATTGAACGGATTTAGGTAAACTGCTTATCTAGATTATCTATTGAACAAATTAAGGTAAACTGCTTATCTAGATTATCTATTGAACGAATAAAGTTTATCTATTTATCTAGATTATCTATTGAACGGATTAAGGTTATCTATTTACCTAGATTATCTATTGAATGGATTTAGGTAAACTGCTTATCTAGATTATCTATTGAACAAATTAAGGTTATCTATTGAACGGATTAAGGATATCTATTTATCTAGATTATTTATTGAACGGATTAAGGTTAACTTTTTATTTTAGATTATCTATTGAACGGATTAAGGTTATCTATTTATCTAGATTATCTATTGAACGGATTAAGTTTATCTATTTATCTAGATTATCTATTGAATGGATTTAGGTAAACTGCTTATCTAGATTATCTATTGAACAAATTGAGGTTATCTGTTGAACGGATTAAGGTTATCTATTTATCTAGATAATCTATTGAACGGATTAAGGTTATCTATTTATCTAGATAATCTATTGAATGGATTAAGGTTATCTATTTATCTAGATTATCTATTAAATGGATTAAGGTTATCTATTTATCAAGATTATCTATTGAATGGATTGATTTTATCTATTTATCTAGATTATCTATTGAACGGATTAAGGTTATCTATCTATCTAGATTATTTATTGAACGGATTAAGGTTAACTTTTTATTTTAGATTATCTATTGAACGGATTAAGGTTATCTATTTATCTAGATTATCTATTGAACGGATTAAGGTTATCTATTTATCTAGATTATCTATTGAACGGATAAAGTTTATCTATTTATCTAGATTATCTATTGAACGGATTAAGGTTATCTATTTATCTAGATTATCTATTGAATGGATAAGTTTATCTATTTATCTAGATTATCTATTGAACGGATTAAGTTTACCTATTTATCTAGATTATCTATTGAACGGATTAAGGTTATCTATTTATGTAGATTATCTATTGAACGGATTAAGGTTATCTATTTATCTAGATTTTCTATTGATTGGATTAAGTTTATCTATTTATCTAGATTATCTATTGAACGGATTAAGTTTATCTATTTATTTAGATTATCTATTGAACGGATTAAGGTTATCTATTTATCTAGATTATCTATTGAACGGATTAAGTTTACCTATTTATCTAGATTATCTATTGAACGGATTAAGAATATGTAGGTACTGTTGTTAATAGTTTTGTTGATATTTAGGTACTGTTGTTAATAGTTTTGGTTCAAAATCGGTTAATATTTGCTTTTATTAAACGTTGCAATATTTTTATCCTTAAAAAAAAATAAAAACCGAACAAAATAACGATTTTTTCAATACCTTCGTTTGGTTCATTTTTTGCATGTATTTTTTCATGGTCGAAATTCGGCATAGTAAAAGAAAAGCACATGTTTAGGATTAACAATTTTGAAAACATTTGCTCTTCTGAGACAATGCCAATTTTTGGCCCTGAAGTATGCAAAAATTAATAAAAACATTTTAAAAAAAACATTATCTGTAGGTTAAACCAGGCGTGTCTGCCAAGTCTACAATGTATTATCAACTCCAATATCTAAAGGAGAAACTACCCAAGGTTGTAATTAAGGTAACGTTTTTACTTGATTTATAATAAGCTTGGGGACCTAGCTTCGCCTGGAGTTTAAGTCGGCCAACTAAAAAAACTAAAAACATTTTATTGCCAGTCCTGAAATGCTTTTTTATTTTTGAACCCTTTAGTTACAGAATAATTTAGTTTTTCCCGTTTTTCGGAAATGTTTTTAATTTTAGATGTCGTTTTTCTTGTTTGTTGGAAGGATCAGATATTTAGGAAGGAAATAATTTTACCCTGAATAAGAGAAATATTAAAGTATCCAGAGTCTAAAACTAAAGAACGAAAAGTTTTGACTTAAATTTTAAGTTTATGGTTAAATGCCACTTCTGACTTAATTTAAACCTTAACTTAAACCATGAGGTTAAATATTTAACCATGTGGTTAAATATTTAACTCCCCGAAATCGACGAGTTAAAATTTAAACACAGGGTTAAAATCTTGAAATCCCGCAATCCCTATTTGTCTATCATCATTCAGCTGAGTAAGTGGCATTCAACTAATTACAATATATTTAAAAGTAAAAACCTTGATTTAATAAATTTCACGTTTTAGATTAATTAATTTTTGCACGTAAACCCAAAATACGGTTGTAACTGGAAATATGTTTTGTTTTCAGTCACGTAAATAATTCAAAATTTAAAAAACAGCTGATTACCGATAGTTAGGTAACATTTCTCCGTAAATCCTTATCTCTGGTACAGATTTTTCCCGGGAAATTCAAATTTAAACATGAGAAAGTTTAATATTTAAGTAGCTATTCATTATTTTACAGAACTTTTAACCTCGAACTTAAAATTCGCGCATTCTTTAGTTTTAGACTCTGGTTTCACTAAAGATATTTAAGGGACTGCCCACTGTATCCTGATAGTTGTACTAAAGATATTTGAGGGACTGCCCACTGTATCCTGGTTGTACTAAAGATATTTGAGTGACTGCCCACTGTATCCTGGTTGTACTATTGATATTTAAGGGACTGCCCACTGTATCCTAGTTGTACTAATGATATTTAAGGGACTGCCCACTGTATCCTAGTTGTACTAATGATATTTAAGGGACTGCCCACTGTATCCTGATAGTTGTACTAAAGATATTTGAGGGACTGCCCACTGTATCCTGATAGTTGTACTAATGATATTTGAGGGACTGCCCACTGTATCCTGATAGTTGTACTAAAGATATTTAAGGGACTGCCCACTGTATCCTAGTTGTACTAATGATATTTAAGGGACTGCCCACTGTATCCTGATAGTTGAACTAATGTTATTTAAGGGACTGCCCACTGTATCCTAGTTGTACTAATGATATTTAAGGGACTGCCCACTGTATCCTAGTTGTACTAATGATATTTAAGGGACTGCCCACTGTATCCTAGTTGTACTAATGATATTTAAGGGACTGCCCACTGTATCCCGAGCTGTAATACATCTAGAAGACAGTAAGAGTGGTCCAAACAAATATAAACTATTTGTAGAGGGAGATAATCTTAGGTAAAATAAAAATTTTGTTTTTTAAATTTAAGGATTTTGATAATTTTAATTTGATCATATTAAATAAACATATCTTTACGTTTTTGCAGAATTTTTTTTAGGTTTGCATTTTTTTAATTTAATCCTGGAAACTATGTTTTCCTTATAAAAGACAACCTACCGGAGGTAAATAGATATTANTGAGCGGACATCAAAACAAACAAACACCATAACAGACAGAGATAGAGATTACTAATTATTGACTATATATAATATATATATCAGTTTTTAAACTTCCCATTTCATTAAAAAAGAATTGTAATAAACATAATGTTTCACTTCTCATGACGATCCTCAGTAGTTAAAATTCTTTTTACAGCTCTATATATATGTATATATTTATGTATATATTTATATATGCATATGTTTGTACATATATATATATACATGCACATATATAAGTTACTGATGAAAATGGGTTAAATTACAGGGAGGTGATAGCGACCTACGGAGTAAAGGGAACTAGCACTACTAGTAATAACACCATAGAGGTAACATTTTATTCTCTAGTGATTCACCTACAGGGTGTCCCAATAAAGATAGGGATTAAGTGAAGAATAGAAAATCGTTTTTGTTAAGAATTTGCTTTGTAACGCCTAATTTCAATGGTCAAAATAAAGTTAAGTCTGCTAGAGTAAATATTATATGGTAAAGGACTGTTTTGTTATTCTGCAAAACTATACTGTGTGTTCCTTTTCAGGTATTTCTCCTTTTACTGAGTACAGTTGTATTCAATCAAAATATAAACATATAAACAAACAAATTCTTGACTCTAGCAGACAAAATATTTACGGATTACAGCTTGTTCAGTTGGCTGAATCAAAACATCATTTTGTAAAACGATTTCAAACTCGTCAGTTAATTCCCATGTTTGTTTGGCACACTGTATATTCTTTTCTTTTGTTCCTATCTCGAAATTATTTTTATCCATATGCTTTAAAGATTTGCCTAACATGCATATATTTTAGCTGATTATATTGTGAATTTAAAATTTTTATGAATAAATAACAATTGTTAGGAAAGTATTAAAAAAGTTTGATTATTTATATACCTCTGTATTTTTACATAATATGTTTCTCAGAGGTTCTATCGAGCTCTCCAATCAAACATGTTTGGCTTAAAAGTCAAAGGTGTTCATGAGTTATGATCGGACATCCAAAATGACGGGAATGATAGTTGGTTACATTTAAGAAATTTAGAATAGTTGGATTCTTTTAAATTACTCTGCAATAAGAGGAAAAATGTTTTTAAAATGTAAGATTTCAATATTACGTGTAACTTACTTTTGTATAACCTGAGCTGAAAACTTTAGAATGAGATATCCTTAATCCTGATCGCTTAATCTGAGTATCCAATGTACACACTTTTTCTTCTTAATCCTCTTTTTCGGATATCCCCTACTGTATAAAAGTTACTTTTGATAACAGTTACAGATACAATGCTATATCGATTGAACTAATATCCGATTAAATTAAAGTCAGCTGTTCACAAGCCGGCTTTTAGAGCATTTAAGCTATTATAAATTTAATCATGTTAATATGAACTTATTAAAAAATATATTTTATCACATTTTAAGACTATCATCATTTTAAACGAGTCTTAACAAACATTAATCCAAAACGTACATTTATTTAATCGATGTTTAGTTCAATTGGTATGACACAATTAACACCCGAAAAAAAACCGGTTTTTCAAAAGTTAAAGAGTACATCTTAACATGAAACGCTGATTGGTTGAATTTTATACTTCTTTCTTGGATATCGAATGCGTATTAAAATAATCTTGGGTTTAGTAAAACCAGGTGTTTAAGCATTAATCTTGATATCCATCATTCTAAAGTTTTCAGCTCTGGTCTTATATATATATTTTTTATCTTTTATTTGTAAAGGTAGCGAATACCCTTGGTATCGAGGCAGCCAGGAAAACCATCATATCTGAGATAACCTACACCATGGAGTCACACGGAATGTCCATTGACATTAGGTTCGTTACCTTAATAACACATTACCTTTAAAAAATAAGCTAAAAACATTCCCGTAATTCTATTGATTTCCCAAATCTAAGTTTGAGGCAAATTTGTCAAAATTGTTGGACTCACACAAACAGACAAACAGAAATTACTACTTCATATTAAATTAGCTTGAGAACCCAAGGTACTCCAGCCTTGGTCGTAAATTACGATCCTAGCTATTTTTCCCTATTTAGTGAACCCACTTAAATTAGAAGCTCAAAACTATAAGCTAATAACATTCCTGTAGGCCTCCCGAGTCGCCAAATCAAAATTTAAGGCAAATCGGTCAAAGAGACAAACAAACAACTACATACATACATTAATAGATAAGCGCCCGAGATTCTTTTAATTAGTTACAATTAATACAAACTTCATGAAAACTACAGTGGATTGGCTAATCAAAATGTGTTTATCTAACTTGTTATTTATTTAGGCATGTCATGTTGTTGGCCGACCTGATGACCTGCAGGGGGGAGGTCCTGGGTATCACGAGACATGGTTTAGCCAAGGTATGTCATCAACTACAAAACAAAATATCGAAAGTATCTCTTGTAGGGACTTTCGACCAACGGTATTCTTAACTTTTATCTGAGTAACATGGAGAAATATTTTGTTGTCTATATCGTGAAAAGAGATTAATTCTGTCAATTTTCTTATTTCTATTACTACCTGTATGACTTAACAAGTAATTTTTCTATAGAAAGTTTCATCTCTGCTTGTGGTAGGGCTATAGAAAACATATATAATTACATACAATTTCCCGGTTTTGCTTTCACACTAAACTAAGATATAGGTCAAATACGCCTATGATAGGCCGGGTACTGTAAAGAGAGCCAGGCCACGCTATCAAAGTTGAAACCGGGCCAACATAGTAAATCCTAGGATAAGGTCGGGCCTGTAAATGCCGCGCATCACTAAGGCCGGTACGAGGGGTTGGTCCGGTTCGAATTCAAAATGACCTTAGTCCACTGTGCTTTAAGTATACGATATTTCTATTTTTTTCACGTATTTTATCTTTGTCATTATATATTAGATGAAGGAGAGTGTACTAATGTATTTTATCTTTGTCCTTATATATTAGATGAAGGAGAGTGTACTAATGTATTTTATCTTTGTTTATTAGATAAAGGAGAGTGTACTAATGTATTTTATCTTTGCCATTATTTATTAGATAAAGGAGAGTGTACTAATGTATTTTATCTTTGCCATTATTTATTAGATGAAGGAGAGTGTACTAATGTATTTATCTTTGTATATGTTAGATGAAGGAGAGTGTACTAATGTATTTTATCTTTGACATTATATATTAGATGAAGAAGAGTGTACTAATGTATTTTATCTTTGCCATTATTTATTTGATGAAGGAGAGTGTACTAATGTATTTTATCTTTGCCATTATATATTAGATGAAGGAGAGTGTACTAATGTATTTTATCTTTGCCATTATTTATTAGATAAAGGAGAGTGTACTAATGTATTTTATCTTTGCCATTATTTATTAGATGAAGGAGAGTGTACTAATGTATTTATCTTTGTCCTTATATATTAGATGAAGGAGAGTGTACTAATGTATTTTATCTTTGCCATTATATATTAGATGAAGGAGAGTGTACTAATGTTGGCAAGCTTTGAGAAGACCTCAGACCATTTGTTTGATGCTGCGTACTTCGGTCAAAAGGATGCTATCAAGGGAGTATCAGAGTCTATTATCCTGGGGATTCCTATGAACGTTGGAACAGGTAAAAACATCTTTTTTTTAACATTTATTTTTTTATTTAAATTTCAACGATCATATAGAATAAAATAGATGAATGAATAAAAGTTGCCCTCTCTCTGCGAACAGTTTTTCTTTTAAATTCTTATTTTAACATATTGTTTTTAACAAACATGAACAAATACAGTAAAATCTAAATTTACAATTTTACAATTTTGGTATTCATAATCAAATTTCAAAGAATTTAATTCGACCAGCCGTAAAATGTTTCTTGAGTCATGTGAGGCTTCACACAAAAATCTGTGCACGAATGGTTGAGCCAATTTGACGTTTTTTGGATACAAACAAACTGACTAGCCAAAAATATATTTAGATTAATAGGCTTTTAGGCCCCTCTTTTTATATCAAAAATATTAGCTTTGAATTCTGAAAGTCGCCATTTAAAATAGTTTTCAATTATTTGTGGGTTTAACTGTTGAGTTTTCAAGCGTAATAAATTTGGACATTTTTCCGGGGGAAAATTTTCAACTTCGATCAGCTATAATCCTTCTTGGGGAGTTGCCTTGAAATTTTGGGCTCGATCAGTTCAGCCGATCAAGCCCAAAAATTCAAACAGACAGACCACGGGCAGCCGTAGTACCTTTGAATTTCCGAGCCGGGTCATCCTTTCCGGTCCCAGTTTGTACTATTTCGCCCGGACATTGGGTAAATAAAGCAGACACTCAATATGACAAGCCGGTGAAACAAGGTTGACGCGGTCAGCCTTTAGGTTGAATTTACTTTTATTAAAGGGTCAGTGGTGCGTGAGATAATCAAAGTATATAGATAGATGAGCTCTGACTGTTAAATATTTAAGGTCTGCTACGGTTACTGTATCGTCAAAACAAGAAGCCAGCAGAATCCACCCGTAATCTATTATTTAATGATACTTTATTCTCAAATCCTGATTACAGATTTATCAGCTAGTATTTTCAACCCGCTGTAACATTATTTTTTTAAATAAATTATTTTCTGTTATTTCAGTGTTTCAAGATCAGATTGAAAACGTCAATATTATGCGACATTACTGTTACGATTTTTTGGTCTTGTAACTCCTGTTTTTATTTTACGTATTAACATGAAAGAAGTAGATTTATTTGGTTACATTATACGTTCATATTAGAAATTCAAAACATTCTTCAGAGAGACTAGGGATTACTGGAACATTTGCGAAGAACATTTTGTTTGCGTTTCTTCCTTCAATAATACATAATACTAATAATAATATACTATTGAATTAAAATACTAGGGATAGGCTGTCCAGTGTCCATGCACCACACTAGCCAACTTTATAATCATTAAATGGTAGTTTTTGAAGTACATTTATTGCTTCTAGATGTAAATACATGAGAAATAACAAGTGTAATAAACGAGAGTAGGATGAATAGGTCTTCTCTGGGTCCAGAATCCAACGCAAATGATTTACGGATTTTATAATCCTCTTTCTGGGATTTCATCGTCCACAAGATCTAGTTTCTACATGAAGAAAAAGAAGAAGAAAATAGAAAGCGGCAGACAGAAACATTTACAAATTATGGATTTTGAGCCTTACTATAGAGTCGGCAAACACCTTGTTTTTAAAACCTACAGCTCATATGATTTGGCATATTTTAATCGCAAAAAAAAACCTAAGGTCACTCTGAATTCACAGTTTGGTCCTTGTCACAGCAAGCTTTGACTTTCGATCACCATTTTTCTTATTTATGATTGCCTGCCTTTTTAAAGACTTATTTATATTTATTATTTTTACATTTTTAATGAAATTGTTTAATGTTAGCCATTAAACTAAGATAATTAAATCGCTAAACTTCCAACTGCCGGTTCAAAACTTGAATCACCGATTTCAAGTTAAAGATTCATGGGGATTTGAATCGGCTGTAGGCAGTTCAGCGACCTCTCCAATGAGACCATGATGTTGAGGAGGTCAGATAATGTGTTATTGCTAGCGCATGACCTATTTGGTTTCATCAATAAATATAAAAACATGTCTGATTAAACTAAGTTAAGTTAAAATGTGGAATTTTACATTTTCTGAGGTTAATGGAGGCCAAAATAGAGGTCAACATTTTCTTCGTGATCTTTGTGATTAGAGCGTGCAAAATTTCATTCTCTTTTTCTTTTCCTTCTTTTCATTTGGTTCTCCTTTCGTATCAGGTAGCTTCAGGATATATTGCCCTCCACCTCAACACTCCAGTCCGTGTCAGGTAGCTTCAGGATATATTGCCCTCCACCTCAACACTCCAGTCCGTATCAGGTAGCTTCAGGATATATTGCCCTCCACCTCAACACTCCAGTCCGTGTCAGGTAGCTTCAGGATATATTGCCCTCCACCTCAACACTCCAGTCCGTATCAGGTAGCTTCAGGATATATTGCCCTCCACCTCAACACTCCAGTCCGTATCAGGTAGCTTCAGGATATATTGCCCTCCACCTCAACACTCCAGTCCGTGCCGGCACAACACATACTGTACACTCGCACTGTCCAGTCAGGCTATCCAGTGTAGAGTAGACACAGCCCATTTTATGCGACAAATATACCCTGTACTCTTAGAAATGTTAAATTTTCATCTAACAAAATTTGTTGGAGCACAGGAGCCATACAACTTAGAAGTTCGATTGTTCAAATGTTGATAAATATAATAAATTTGACGAATAATGTAAATAAATTGAATTGAATAAATGTAAACAAATTTGGTCATATGAAAATTTAACATTTCTTAGAGTCTGACAAGATCACTGTGTCTTACGAGAGAAAGGAGTGCCCCTATACTCTATAGCTATGGAACTATTGTTGACAGTAAAAAAAAAATTGAAAAAATTAAATATGGGAATTATTATTCTTTAGCTCGAAACTCTTAGATTAGGTTCTATTAAATGTGCTTGTATGCTTGAAATCAGTCATTTTCTCACATCCGTGAAATTTTATCATTTGCCCAATCCCAATTGGACTAGAAAAATAGGGGGGGAGGTGTTCCCCCGCCCACCCCTATGAGATGAGATAGGATAATTGTGATGTCCAAAGTACTACTCATTTCAAGGCCATGCTCATAAGAAAAACTACCTTAGTATATGGGGGGGGTTATAGGGTTAAGAACCTAGATAAATTAGTAATGTATATTGGGTTAAGAACCTAGATAAATTAGTAATGTATATTGGGTTAAGAACCTAGATAAATTAGTAATGTATATTGGGTTAAGAACCTAGATAAATTAGTAATGTATATTGGGTTAAGAACCACAGCAAAGAATAAGCCTCATTCATAACTGTATACCATGCATATGGCACAGGGGTTCGGGATGTTAAGGTAACTATGAAAAAGATCCTTTCTCTATTAATCCTTTCTCTACTAACCCTTTCTCTACTAATCCTTTCTCTACTAATCCTTTCTCTACTTATCCTTTCTCACTGATCATTTCTCTACTAATCCTTTTTCTATTTATCCGTTCTCTATAAATCCTTTCTATATTCCTTTCTCTACTAATCCTTCCTCTACTAATCCTTTCTCTACTAATCCTTTCTCTATTAATCCCTTTTCTACTAATCCTTCCTCTACTAATCTGCCGGTTCAAAACTTGAATCACCGATTTCAAGTAACCATAATGTCTAATTTGTCCAACTTGATTAAATATTTAAACTTTCAGATGTTTCTGTTTCGTGTTCCTCTGTTTGTTTGTTTGTTGTTTAACCCTAGAGCAGAATCTAGTATTATAGATACCCTGGTCGTTCAGACGGACCAGGGAAATGTCCGAGGGTTTTCAAAACTGGTTTTAGGTAAACAAAACTGGTTTTAGGTAAATAAACCTAGTTTTAGGTAAACAAAACTAGTTTTAGGTAAACAAAACTAGTTTAAGGTGAGTAAAACTGGTTTAAGTCAGATATAACTAGTTTCAGGTGGTTAAAACTGGTTTTAGTCAAATGTAACTAGTTTAAGGTGAGTAAGACTAGTTTTAGGAAAACAAAACTGGTTTTAGGTAAACAAAACTAGTTTCAGGTGATTAAAACTGGTTGTAGTCACATAAAACTAGTTTCAGGTACACAAAACTAGTTTCAGGTAAACAAAACTAGTTTCAGTTAAACTAACTAGTTTCAGGTGATTAAAACTGTTGTTTGGTAAACAAAACTAGTTTCAGGTGTTTAAAACTGTTGTTTGGTAAACAAAACTAGTTTCAGGTAATTAAAACTGTTGTTTGGTAAACTAAACTAGTTTCAGGTAATTAAAACTGTTGCTTGGTAAACAAAACTAGTTTCAGGTAATTAAAACTGTTGTTTGTTAAACAAAACTAGTTTCAGGTGATTAAAACTGTTGTTCGGTAAACAAAACTAGTTTCAGGTAATTAAAACTGTTGTTTGGTAAACTAAACTAGTTTCAGGTGATTAAAACTGTTGTTTGGTAAACAAAACTAGTCCTGCCATTACCAAAATGTGGTCTGTCATAATTCTATGTTTAAAAATTCCAGAGATATTAAACAGTTTGTTTAAATTTAAATTTATTATAAAACCATGAAAATCTCTTATTCTGATCAAAATCGTTCATATTCCCGGTAATTATGAACGCAAAACATTTTTGGAAATATAAGAACTACAGCTATTGTTTGATTATTGTTTCATAACCAAATATTTAGACTGTAACTGTATGCACATGACAAATATTACTTCTATTTGTTTTCTTTTTATAAGGAAAGAAACTGTATGTTTTCTATGGTATACCGTATGCACAACCACCTCTTGGGAAACTTAGGTGAACATTTGTAAAAACTGAAGTCAACAAAACTTACATATTTTCTAAACAAAGTAGTAGTTTTTCAGTAAAGTTCATTAAGTACTTTAAGTCCACATAAACTTCATTTTAACTTAGGCTTTTGACAAAGTTTCATTTTTAAGTAAATTAACTTTGACATTGTTTGTAAACATTTTCGTTTGAAAGGTGAATACTAATTTTTTCTCTGGAATAAATTGTATCTTTTTTACATGAAAGTGATATTGTCTTTAGACAAAGAAATAATTTTTAACATCAAGTGAAAAATAATATTGTCTCTGGTGTCTCATGGACAAAGTTTTATTTTTTGGAAAGTAAAAACTGATATTGTCTTTGGACAAAGTAATATTTTTCAAATAAAGTGAAACAGATAATAAGTTTTTTTGTCTGTATAAAGAAAAATTTGTAGTAGGCTTTTATATTGTGTATTGTGTAGGAACAAAGAAACATGTTTGCACTAAAAAATATACAAATTACTTTTCGACAAAGTAATTTTTTTCATTTAAATTAAATTGTGAAAATTTCTATAGACATATACTGATATAGAAAACAATCTTTTGTTTCGTCTCTATAATCTATGGAAACTATCTTCTGTTTAGTCTCTATTATCTTGAAAAACTATTTCCTGCTTAGTCTTTATTATTTATTAAAAACTGTTTTCTGTTTATTCTCTGCTGTTTAGAAAAAGTATCTTCTGTTTGGTCTATATTATCTATGGAAAGGAATCTTCTGTGTAGTCTATATTAACTATGGATAACAATCTTTTGTTTAATCTCTTTTATCCATTGAAATAATCTTCTGTTTAGTCTGTATTATCTATGGAAAGGAATCTTCTGTGTACTCTCTATTATCTATGGAAAACAATCTTCTGTTTAGTCTGTATTATCAAATACAGGATGGAGCATAAACTTCAAGTTAAAAAAAAAACTAAGCAAATCCGAAGTTTTAGCAGATGTGTTTTTTAAATTTGGAAATTTCTTTCGACCAAAAATAGATTTTAAAGAGCAGAAAAAAATTATTTCCTCGGATATTCAAATGCTCGTTGTGTGTAAAATATTTGAAAGAAGTATCTCTTGATAAAAAAAAGAAAAAATCTTTTTAAAATTTGTTGTTAAAATTTGTTGTTTAAAATGTTTATACTCAGGTTTAAGAAGCCCCGGCCCTCCAGTTCTTGGAAAGGAGTTTTTGACGCAACAACGCCTCCTAATACATGCGTACAGGAGAAAAATGAATATTTTCCTGGTTTCCAGGTGAAATAGATCAAACATTTTCCTGGTTTCCAGATGAAATAGCTCAAACATTTTCCTGGTTTCCAGGTGAAATGAATCAAACATAATTCTGGTTTCCAGGTAAAATAGACCAAACATTTTCCTGGTTTCTGGTGAAATAGACCAAACATTTTCCTGGTTTCCAGGTGAAATAGACCAAACATTTTCCTGGTTTCAAGGGAAATAGATCAATCTCATTTACCAAAATAAAAATATTTGATTTCTGTGAATGAACCCAAGAACAAAAATTCAAAAGGATATAAAAATCTAGCTTGAAAAATTCAACCCAGTAAGATAAGAAAATACCGAACAAACCTAAATTAAAATTATAAAACATATGAACAGTATGAAACATAATAAAATTATGAAAATGTGAAGAAAAAAAACCTTTGACATTTTTGTATATAGGGAGAGGAGATGTGGAATCCAAATACTTTAATTTCAGAGGTACTTTTTTATTAAATGTAATTTACAATACAGAACAAAGAGTACATCCCTGGGATTCTAATTAAACAATGTACTATACAGAATATAGAGTACATCCCTGGGATTCTTATTAAACAATGTACTATACAAGATATAGAGTACATCCCTGAGGTTCTAATTAAACAATTACTATACAAGATATAGAGTACATCCCTGGGGTTCTAATTAAACAATATACTATACAGAATAAGGAGTACATCCCTAAGGTTCTAATTAAAAAATGTACTATACAAGATATAGAGTACATCCCTGAGGTTCTAATTAAACAATGTACTATACAGAATATAGAGTACATCCCCGGGGTTCTAATTAAACAATGTACTATTCAGAATATAGAGTACATCCCCGGGGTTCTAATTAAACAATGTACTATACAGAATATAGAGTACTTCCCCGGGGTTCTAATTAAACAATGTACTATACAGAATATAGAGTACATCCTTGGGGTTCTAATTAAACAATGTACTATACAGAATATAGAGTACATCCCTGGGGTTCTAATGAAACCATGTACTATACAAGATATAGAGTACATCCCTGAGGTTCTAATTAAACAGCTAATATTCAATTGACTGTCCAGTGTGGGTCTATGAATCCCTCCTAGGAAAAGGCCTTTTTTTTCAGTGAGAAGGGGCTCAGCCTTCAAAGCACCCCCCTCCCCCTCTGTTTACGCTCCTGGTTCTAATTAAAGAATGTACAATGTCCTAAACTGAATAAATGGTTCTATTTTGACCAAAGGTTTGTGAAGAACCAATCCCAGTTAATGAGATCATCTGGCGTCAGTCAAGGGACACTAGAACCGGGGGAGGTGGAAACTTATAGTTTCGGTGAATAAAATAAACTTGATTTCGAGTATACAAATATGGCATGAGTGGTGGCAACAATTTTTGTTAAGAACAATCCAACTTATTTTTCAAAACCCTGTTTCCGTTAACTAAATTTTATAATTTATAATAAGTTTCAACCTCAGGGGAATATGTTTGGCGTATCATTATATAAAGCCAGGAATTCAGAATGCTTCCCGACGCCATCTTATCAGTTGTAGATTTTTTTGTGATTATTCCTAAAGGCGCAAACCCTGTCTTCCATCCTCAATTACAAACGACTGTTAATAAGTTCATAATTTTTATGTTCAAAACTGTTAAATTCTCCGGGAAGGGGGAGGCTCGAGGAGGCCAAATAGAGGGGGAGGGGGGGGGGTAAAAACTAGCAAACCCCTTTCTTTTACTTTTGATGAATACAAAAACTACTCGATTTAAAGTTTTGAACAAAAATATGTTTGTACCTTTAACATTCTTCCCGCTCCCTTCTTCCCGCTCCCTTTATATGTTTACTATCACTACAAATGACCCTATTCAATTTCTAGCTGGGAAACCCAGGTTTGCCTGGCCAGGTTTTCCATATATACAAGTCAACTCAACTGTAAACTTTTAAACCAAGCTAAGAGTATTCCCCTGGTTCTACTGATGGGGGTGAAGGGGTTCATTAGAAAAAGAGATTACTTCTTCACTGTATACTTTTTATTTGTGTTACTGCGCCCCAAAGAGCTTTGTAATATAATAATTAGGCATTGGAATTTATACGCAAAACCAGGCGCCTCAATTGGGCTCAATAAGAAGCCATAGAATGTCGTCTTTTCTATAAGTTTTCTAATAAATATTTTAGGAGTTTTTAAGCATTTCCATCACCAAATACTTGCGTTTTTTTACGTAATTTGCCATTAGAAATGCATAACTTTATTATCTTTTTAGATGCACTAAAATAATTTAAAATAATTTGGCAACTTAAAAACAAGGTTTTTTCGGGCCTAGCTCACATTACTGGCCTAAAATTCTGCTTTAGACTATAATTACAAAACTATACTTAATGACATCTCACAAATTTTGTTTTACAATATGCGGTATTTTTCATACAAATGAGATGCATAACAAAATCACAAATATATAGCTTTATTTTAACAGGAGAGCATCCTATCCTATAACCGGGTAAAACAAATTTAGAAGTTTATAACCGTGTCGTTATTTTCCCACCATATTTAGCAACTACAATGATTAATTTATTTAGTAACTGAAGTTTTAATGTTGATTGTTTGAATTTAAAACCAATACTGCAGCCAGTGACGTCATATAAAAGTGTACAGAGAGTACACACTATTCGGATTAATTCCTAATGCCCTATCTTCTACTATTCTACCGTGTCGTTACTGTGCCCTATTTTGCAACAGAAAATGTTGGGCTTTCATTGGTTTAGCTTAAAAAATTATTTCTTAAAAATCAGGAAATTTAACATATAATTAAAAAATTTTAAAAAACCAAAAATGGCAAAATACACAATGCACACAAAAAAAATGTTTATTTTTTTCTTAGGATTGTTTATATTTGAATATCTGGGTTCCTGCCAGTATTCTAGAATCAGATAAACTTTCTCCAGTACTCACATGGATATATGGTGGTTAGTATTATCATTATTAGTGTTATCATTATTTTAATTATTCCAATTATTATTACTTTTATTATTGTTATTATTATTATTATTATTATTATAATTATCATTCTTATTGTTAAAGTTATTATTAGTATTATTATAATTATCATTATCATTTTTGTGGGGTGCGACACCAGTTCTCGTTAGATCACTGAAGTTAAGCACACTTATCCACAGCCAGTAACTGGATTGGTGTCCAGACTGGTGTTCACGGGTTCGATTCACGTACTCCACACAAACCTGTGGTTTCAAAAACATCTGAAGCGGACATCTGGTTAAGTAGTTATGACCACCTGACGGATGTAGGAGGACAGAGGGGCGGCTGTCAACAAATCTCGTAAAGGGTGCGTTCTTTATATTTACAAGAAAGATGCTTTAAGTGGATTGATCTAAGTGAATGATGATGAAGAGAGGAAAGATGGACAAGCAGGGAGAGTCTATGGTTGCCAGCTATAGGTACCTGGAGATATCTAATCCGGGCTTACACATGATTGGGAGCAATGAGTGTGATGTTTCCTATCAGTATGGCACCCGGGCCTCATTCCAGTATATCAGAAGAATTCCTGCACTCTATTATTCTCAGGCCTAAGAAGCCCTTAGGCAGCTGGAATCAATCTTCAAACTATGCATGAAGGGTCACTCGAAATTACGCTCACAGTCCCTGTAAGGATATTTTCTTCTTCAGGCAAACATAAAAAGTTTTCGAGGAGATGGAAACGAGATAACACTGTTCGGGGAATCTGCAGGTAGTGGGGGATTCACGTACAACGGTACAACGGTACAACGGTACAATGGTACAACTGTTCAACCGGTACAACGGTACAACGGTGCAACGGTACAATGGTACAACTGTTCAACCGGTACAACGGTACAACGGTACAACGGTACAACGGTACAACCGTACCTTTAAACCTTTATTTGAGAAGACAAGTAAGATAAATTGTAGTTCTTGTTAATTTCCTTTAATATTCTGCTGTTAAAATCTGCTCGTTTCTAACAAATATAACTTTTTAATAACCACAATATAAGATACAAAATGGGAGTCAAAACAATAAAATGTAGGAATTGGAGGGGCCGGATACAACGTCTACATGAGCAAATCTTCCATCCCTATAATCTGAATTGGAGGGTCCAGATACAACGTCTACATGAGCAAATCTTCCATCTCTATAATCTGAATTGGAGGGTCCAGATACAACGTCTACATGAGCAAATCTTTCATCTCTATAATCTGAATTGGAGGGGCCGGATACAACGTCTACATGAGCAAATCTTCCATCTCTATAATCTGAATTGGAGGGTCCAGATACAACGTCTACATGAGCAAATCTTCCATCTCTATAATCTGAAATTATCTTTTTTAAATAAACTTGGAAGAGAACTAAGAAATGGCCTAGTTTTAATTTTTTGATACAAATAATGTTAATAAAATTACATTGAAGATAAAAAAGAATTTTATTTATATTTTCAACCACGAAGATGGTAAAAGTGGTGAATTGTCCTGGTGAGTTTAGAAAAAGTTAAATTGTGACACAGGATACCCAATAATTGTTAAAACTGACGGACACACACAAAAAAATGTTTTACAGTACTTTTGATGAAACACCGAGGCCATCAAATTTATTATTTTAACTGTAAAGAATGAGTTTGTACGTTGTGTTTATTTGTTAAATGTAGCAAGCACAGTTTGTTGAGAAAACATTTAAAATAATTACTGGTGTTTGCAAATATTTACTTTATAAAAATCATTGCTTACAAATGCTGCGCAAATGATGAATGGTTATATTATAAGGGGAATAGCAGAAGCAGACGTTTTATCAACTTTCCCCTCCCCTCATTAATTAAAAAGTAAAAAAAAAACGTTTTAAAAAGATTAAAATAAAACGTATTCCAAAACGGATTCATTTCAAAATGGGCATGACTGACGGTACCCTGGAAACCTACACCTGATCAATAGTGTGAAAGATATCGTTGTTCTTCTAACTTTAATTCAGAAAATTCCTAAATTGTTTCTTCAGTAAAATGCGCAAATCACCTACAGAAATCACATTTCTATGAGTACTGTTTTAAATCGACCATGCCAGTTAATAATGGAGGTCACAATTAGGTCTACGTCTACTAGTACTGCAGTTCTTTCCAAGTATTCTTTGCTGTATTGGTATTTCAAAAAAAGTAGAAAAATTTTATTCTGATTAAACATTTATGTGAAAAGAAAAACAATATTTGTTAGTCCAACTAGCCATGAGAGCCAGTTCTTTTTTAAGTGAATTTTAATTTCAGGGGCTGGTTGTGTGTCAATTCATCTATTTTAATTTCAGGAGCTGGTTGTGTGTCAATTCATCTATTTTAATTTCAGGAGCTGGTTGTGTGTTAACTCATCTATTTTAATTTCAGGGGCTGGTTGTGTGTCAACTCATCTATTTTAATTTCAGGGACTGGTTGTGTGTCAACTCATCTATTTTAATTTCAGGAGCTGGTTGTGTGTCAACTCATCTATTTTAATTTCAGGGACTGGTTGTGTGTCAACTCATCTATTTTAATTTCAGGGGCTGGTTGTGTGTCAACTCATCTATCTTAATTTCAGGAGCTGGTTGTCTGTCAACTCATCTATTTTAATTTCAGGAACTGGTTGTGTGTCAATTCATCTATTTTAATTTAAGGAACTGGTTGTGTGTCAACTCATCTGTTTTAATTTCAGGGGATGGTTGTGTGTCAACTCATCTATTTTAATTTCAGGAACTGGTTGTGTGTCAATTCATCTATTTTAATTTCCGGAGCTGGTTGTGTGTCAACTCATCTATTTTAATTTCAGGGGCTGGTTGTGTGTCAACTCATCTATTTTAATTTCAGGGGCTGGTTGTGTGTCAACTCATCTATTTTAATTTCAGGGGCTGGTTGTGTGTTAACTCATCTATTTTAATTTCAGGAGCTGGTTGTGTGTCAACTCATCTATTTTAATTTCAGGGGCTGGTTGTATGTTAACTCATCTATTTTAATTTCAGGGGCTGGTTGTGTGTCAACTCATCTATTTTTATTTCAGTAGCTGGTTGTGTGTTAACTCATTTATTTTAATTTCAGGAGCTGGTTGTGTGTCAACTTATCTATTTTAATTTCAGGGGCTGGTTGTGTGTCAACTCATCTTATTTCTCCAGTTAGTCGTCATATACCAAAGTAATGCAAAATACAATAAGATATTTGGAGCTATTATACAATGGTAGGCGATTATATCAATACAGTGAATATGACTGTTTTATTTAAGTTGTCATTGTTAACAATAAAGCTTTTTTTCGAATTACATGTTTAAACAAGAAATCAAAGGGAAACTTTTTTAATTGGCAGCTGCTCTTGACTTTTATTTTTGTGTGTATCCATGCTGTTTGACAGATTGAAATAAATAAAATTGAAATCAATCTTCATTGTGTTGGTATAATCGCCTACCCCTGTATGATAATTAATTAAAAATATATGCTTCAATCAGATTGATTTCCTTGTGGGTATGAAAAAAAATTTTCCTCAGGCCCAGGCCAATTTTATATTTTGCTTGAAATTTGAAATATTTTCAATCTTTGGAGTCAATACAAACAACCCACAACACCACACCAGTAAACAGTGGAGTGAACTGGGAAAGTCGTCTTTATTAACTTTTATATCTATAAGTAACGTTAAGAAGTTTAAAGCTAAGAAATATATAATTTGTATCTGTTCTGTTACTCTATAAAATTTGCCTACAATAAAACCAGGAAACTGTGGAATGGGAATATAACTTTAGACTTAAGCTCTGATTTCAAATAGTTCAATAAACATGAGACGCAGCAGTTTTGCAACAGACTCAAAAAATGATGATTACTAATCAATCATTTTGTAACAATATCAAATACATTTGATGTCGTCTTCCTATATCACAGTTTTCTGGTTCTCAGTGTAGGTGTGAATAATATTTTCAGCAAAATGTTCAATCAAAATGAAAAAAAACACAAGTCAACTTTAATTCCGTTTTAACTGCCAGGCGAGCTGTTCTACAGTCTGGAGCTATTAACGCTCCATGGAGTAACATTAGTCCTCAGAAATCATTGGAAATTTCTGAAGCATTGATTCAGGATTGTGGGTGTCAGGTCAGTTGGTTGGATGGTGAAGTTGTTTAATAAACATGGAAATTAATAGACGACTTGAGAATCATCTATTAATTCCGATATCAAAATAGAGAGTAAACGTCTTATGAGCTTTTGAAAATGTGGTCTGCTTTCTTTGTTACTTCAAAATTGACGGAGATGTTTGTTAATATGTTGTACAAGCTTCAGGATGGAAGCTACAAGGAGCGGATGCAGTGTATGCTAGACCTTCCAGCCAGTAATATTAGTAAAGCTCAGTGGAACTCATACTGGGGAATACTTGGTTTCCCCTCATCCCCCACAGTAGATGGAGAATTCCTGCCCAGGTAAAAGATAATCTGAGATGGGAACCCTTTATCCCGATCCTTTGATCTCAATATCCAGTGTGGACACTTTTGATTAGAGGATCAATGATTTTACTCATTATTTCAGGTTAAGATTACCATATGGGATATCAAGTGAAGATTAAATTAATCTGCTGATTAACAAAAAATCGAGATCACGCATTGATCTCTATATCCACAATACTGTAGAGAGTTCCAGCTCTGAGATCATAACTTGATCTTGGGATCAAACATTGATCTTCGTCTTGTGCAGATCTTAAGATTAATTGAATTTCCACTTTGATATTCTGTGGGTTGTGATCGTAGTCGTAGCCTGCAGGAATAACTAAAATAAAGGTGAAGCACTTATCTCTCAAATTCTAAAGTTGTCACAATGGTTAATCGAGATAAAGCGCCATCAATAATTAGTTTAATCAATTTTTGATATTTTTAACATTTTTAAATGTCGCATCGTTGCCGGTTACATGGGCTCAGTCATTATCTTCAAATTTTTCTGTGAGATATCGGCTGTTAAGTGCTGAAAAACAGGAGTTTTTAGGATTTTCTGTCAGACATCGGCTGTTAAATGCTGAAAAACAGGAGTTTTTAGGATTTTCTGTCAGACATCGGCTGTTAAATGCCGAAAAACAGGAGTTTTTAGGATTTTCTGTCAGACATCGGCTGTTAAATGTTGAAAAACAGGAGCTTTTAGGATTTTTCTTTCAGGCATCCTTGGGAGATGTTGCTAGATGGAGATTTTAGTAAAATTGACATTATTATTGGAACTAATCAGGATGAAGGTACGTTTCAGAACAAACTCTTTTAAAGTACATTTTTAAAATAAAGTGAATACGTATTTCTACAATTTCATGGGAAAATAAAGCATAAATTAGTTTAATTTGGATATTTAAGTCATTAACAAATTTTTTTTTATTACCATGTACTTTTTTCTCAATCAATCAACCCCTTTTTCTTATTCTGTTTTAAGCTCCCCAAAAGCCGTCAGAAACATTGAAAAGAACTTGTTTTTATGAAAAGATATATTTTTTTGTTTATTTTAGAAATCAGATGAATTAATATTTGTAATCGTTTTGTGCAGGCTATCCTATATAATATATAAAAGGTGTAATGTATGTATGTATGTTTTGTGCAGGCTATCCTAATATATAAAAGGTGTAATGTATGTATGTATGTTTTGTGCAGGCTATCCTAATATATAAAAAGGTACAATGTATGTTTGTATGTTTTGTGCAGGCTATCCTAATATATAAAAGGTGTAATGTATGTATGTATGTTTTGTGCAGGCTATCCTAATATATAAAACATTTAGGAACATTTTTTATCCTGTATGATTTCCTGAATTACTTCAAGAAAGATAACCCCAGTTTCCTGACCCGGGAAAATTTTGTCAAGGTGGTGGAAGAAATATTTCTTAAACAATGGCCTGTCTCAACCATAGAGATGGAGGCCATAAAATACCAGGTTAAAATTCCGGATGTTTTTCAACTAGTTTTCATTTAGTATTCCACTAGTTTTCCACTAGTTTTCCACTAGTTTTCATGTAGTTTTCAACTAGTTTTCATCTAGCTTTCCGCGAGTTGTCCACTAGTTTTACACTAGTTTTACCCTAGTTTTACACTAGTTTTTTACTAGTTTCCCTCTAGTTTTCCACTAGTTTTCCAATAGTTTTCCACTAGTTTTCATGTAGTTTTCAACTAGTTTTCATCTAGCTTTCCGCGAGTTGTCCACTAGTTTTTCACTAGTTTTACACTAGTTTTCCACTAGTTTTCCACTAGTTTTCCACTAGTTTTTTAATAGTTTTTAACTAGTTTTTCACTAGTTTTCAACTAGTTTTTCCACTAGTTTTCCCCTAGTTTTCCACTAGTTTTCCGCTAGTTTTCCACTAGTTTTCCAATAGTTTTCAACTAGTTTTCAACTTGTTTTCAGCTTATTTTTTAGCTAGTTTTCAACTATATTTAACCTAATTTTCATCTGGTTTTCGTCCAGTTTTTAAAAAGATTTCATCTAATTAAGATCTAGTTTTCCACTAGTTTTTTACCAGTTTTTCAACTGGTTTTTAGCCTGTTTTTATTCAGTTTTTAATCAGTTTTCATTTAGTTTTCATCTAGGTTTAACCAGTTTTCCTCTAATATTTATCCAGTGTTTCACCTAGTCTTAAACCATTTTTTACCAGCTTTTGACATTTTCAAACCAATTGTTTGTTTATTTTGTAGTACACTGACTGGGAGCAGGTGAATGATGGATTCTTGAATCAGAAAATGATTGGAGATCTAGTTGGAGACTTCTTTTTTGTTTGTCCATGCAACTTCTTCGCTAGCCAGTATGCCGAGCATGGGAATAAGGTTTACTACTACTACTTCAACCATGTAAGTATGGGCTGACCAAAGTTCCCTTAAAGGGACTGTCGGCGTAATTTCAAGTTATGTGCCTGATTCACACCTATATTCTTTTAGCGTTTATCTGAGTAGAAAAGAGGGAGATATCGACGTTTTTCTATCTTAGATTAAGACTAATTTGTTCTGTTTCACTACTTAGCGAATTCCCTAAANCCAGCGGTTGAGATCTAGCCTAGACTCTACGCAGTTCAGAATAAGAAATGCGCCTTTTTTTCTCAAATTTAAAATTTGTTCAATCAATAAATTCCTGCTTTTTTCATTCATATTTTTATTCACTTTTTAAAACTTTTTTAGTAGTTAAACATAATTTTTTGCTTTCAACCGCTGGGTTAAAGATTTTTCAGCAACTTTTTTCCTTTTAACTACTTGGAATGGGTTGCTTTTAACCACCAAGGAAAATAATTTTTCGTGAAAGACATTTTCTTTCCACCACTGGTTATACAATTTTTCGGCAACTTTTTTCTTTAAACCTCTGGAATGCTTTTATACGCTGGAAAACAGTTATTAATAAAAAACGTTTCCTTTAAAAAAATGGTACTAAGATTTTTCAGCGCCTTTTTTTCAACCACTGGTTTTAAGATTTTTCAGCAACTTTTTTGCTTTCAACCGCTGGGTTGCTTTAACCACCAGAAAATAGTTTTTCATAAAAAAGGTTTTCTTTTAACAACTGGTTTAAAGATTTTTTAACAACTTTTTTGCTTTCAACCGCTGGGTTAAACGCAATAAAATTACTGAAGTATCTTTAAACCAGTGGTTGAAAGCAAAAAAATATTTAATATCTTAAAGACAAAGAGCAAAAAACATTTACATGAAAAATTATTTCTCTGGTTGAAATTCAAAAGTTGTCGAAAATCGTAAACCCAGCGGTTGAAAGAAAAAAGTTGTTGAAAAATTTTTAAACAAAAGTTTTCTGAAAAAATCTGAAAATCAGCGGTTGAAAGCACTAAAAAATCTGAAAAAAGCGGTTGAAAGTTAAAAAGTTCTGAAAAATCTTTAAACCAGCGGTTGAAAGCAAAAAAGTTGCTGAAAAATCTTAAAATCAGCGGTTGAAAGTTAAAAAGTTGCTGAAAAATCTTTAAACCAGCGGTTGAAAGCAAAAAGTTGCTGAAATATCTGAAAATGGTTGTAAGCAAAAAGTTGCTGAAAAATCTTTAAACCAGCGGTTGAAAGTAAAAAAGTTCTGAAAAATCTGTAAACAGTTGAAAGCAAAAAGTTGCTGAAAAAATCTTTAAAACAGCGGTTGAAAGCAAAAAAAGTTGCTGAAAAATCTGAAAACCAGCGGTTAAAGCAAAAAAGTTGCTAAAAAATATGAAAACGTTATTCATGAAAAATTATATTTCATTTGTTGAAAAAGTGCGATTTAGCGGTTGAACAAATTGTAAATTTCTTCTTAATTTCTTATTCTGAACTTCGTAGAGTCTAGGCTAGATCTCAATCGCTCGTTCAACCGCTCCCGCTGAGTTTTTTTCTCCAAAGTATATGGCATTCGGAATAAAGGGTGTTGACAAACCTAATATATAGAATATAGATATATATATTCGTGGAAAGTAAATATTATCCTTGAATCAATGATTTTCAAGATTTGTCAATATTTCATCTTTTCTCTTCTCCCTCTCATCTGTCTCAAGTAGTATAATCCCTGCCAACTCCAGGAGGGGGAGGGGGCGTACAGGGTTTCAACATGAGAAATAAGAAATAAAAGTAAAGAAGTATGAGTTTTAGACTAAGGTATAGGATGAGTTATATTGAGTAAGGTACGATAGGTTGAGAGTGAGTAAGGATCAGTTGAAAATAAGGCCGGCAGGATAAGTTGGAGTAAGGACGTTAGGAGTTGGGAATAAAAAAGTACAATTTAGAAGTTGGAAATAAAGAAGTACTAGTTGGGAGAAAGTAAGAATGGGTTGGGAACAAGGAAGGCTGAGTTAGGAATAAAGAAGTAAGAGTTAGGAGTTAGTAAGGATGAGTTGGGAGTAATATAGGATGAGTTAAGAGTAAGATAGGATGAGTTGGGAGTAAGAAAGGATGAGTTGGGAGTAATATTGGATGAGTTAGGAGTAAGATAGGATGAGTTGGGAGTAAGATAGGATGAGTTGGAAGTAATATAGGATGAGTTGGGAGTAAGAAAGGATTATTTGAGAGTAAAAGATAGGATGAGTTGGGAGTAATATAGGATGCGTTGGGAGTAAGGTAGGATGAGTTGGAAGTAAGATAGGATGAGTTGGGAGTAAGATAGGATCAGTTGAAAGTAAGATAGGATGAGTTGGAAGTAAGATAGGATGAGTTGGGAAAAGAAAGGATGAGTTGGGAAAAATGTAGGATGAGTTGGGAAAAGGAAGGATGAGTTGGGAATAGGAAGGATGAGTTGGGAGTAAGGAAGTCTGGAGTGTCATATTCGTGTTAGTATTAAGTCTGCACATGTTAATTTTTTCCATTGGAATAAAACTAGAAGTAGAAAATCTGGATCTGAATATGTATATCAGAAGTGCTGGTATGTCTGGCAATTGTATCTTCTGTTTTTAGTTTGCAATCATTATTCTAAGCACATGAGAGGTTCTCAGAAATTAAAATCAAGATTACATTTTAAAAAATGTAATTTAAAATTTGTCTTTTGTTCAAGTTTTCATCATATCCACATGTGATATAGCAAATGCTAATGTAAAACAAACCAAATAAACTCTTAAGGAACACAACTCCGCTATTGTGCATAATATTAATTGTCCCGTTCTTAATCCATAATTTTCGTGGACGCAAAATCCCTAATTTAAAAAAAATAAAAATAAAAAGATGCCCATCATTATAAATGTTAATATGTTGAAGAAAGCTGTCTGGATGAACTGGTGTTTCATATTTAATCTAGATCACTGGTACAGCAGGTTTCTGTCTCTCTTCAGTTCAGGATTTCTCTTCAAACCAACCAGGTCTTAATTATTATAAAAACTTAAAAAAGAAAATATATTACACAATTTTTTCTTCAATCATCATAATTCATTTAAAAAATTGAGTTTTTACCGCAAACTCAAATTTTCTAATCCCTATCTTTCCAACCTGATGATCTAAACCTTTTAGATATTTCAAACTTAGACTATTTAATCTAACAGAATTCATAGTTTAAAATATAAAAGGTCTGCGACATTGTGTTAAAAGGTATAAGGAAAAAACGTTAGAGTTTGTGGCAAAAACTCATTTCTTTCGATGTAATCTCTGAGAGTTTAATGTTTTTAGATGATATCTTTATATGGATACTTTTTGATTTGTTACCCTCACTTCTTATGCACCTTGCGGTTGGCTTATATTTGCTTCAGGCAATTTTGCATTTGACAATATGATATTAAGATAATAGCAGAGCATAGCTATATGAAGGTTTTGAGTACTGCCAATTTATTTAATACTACCTTGGTTCATAGCTTTGCTTGTAGTTGTAAAAGTCAACCTACTCAACTGAAAAATTTTTAACCATGTGCTTCGAACATCCCCAATCAAATTTGAGGCTTTGAGGCAATCGGTTAAAGGGTTCATGAGTTATGATCGGACATCCAAACAAACAGACATTGCTTCTTTATATATTTAATTTTTCAATTATGAAAACCTTAAATTATTACATTTTTCGTTTTAGGGCATTGAAAATCATGATATTCCTGTCTCTTCCCTGTCTTCTGGTCCTTCTCATTTCAGAGAATGTAGAAGGGTTAAGCCCGGAAACTATTCTTGTCTCTGGGTATAACTCTGAGATAGCCAGATACATACTTGAGGATGGAGAAATTATCCGTAACGGATCCTGGTTGGTAGATGAGAATATGACCTGGATGCAGGAGGCCAATGGATCCATCTATGCTATCCATGAAGTGTCAAGCTATCTAGGCCAGGAGGGTGGGGCTATCAGTCGCTGGGAGATGGAGGATAATCAGCTTATGAAGAAGGAGTTACTAAATCTAAAAAGTGGTGGACCTGCTCATGTTCTTGTTGATACTGAACATGACATAGCTATCACTGCCAACTATGCTGGAGGTTCAGTTACTGTTGTTTCACTAGAAAATGGCCATCTTGGAAGAATATCACAGGTTCTAAAGTTTGGTGAAGGGTGCAGGGGTATGTCACATCCCCATCACATCGTTCAAGTTGATGATCTGGTCTGGGTTACAGATCTTGGCTGTGACACCATCTATCAATTTCTTATTGATGGTGACCAATTGAAACGCATAGGTGAAACACTTCTACCCTCTGGATCAGGGCCACGACACATGGTGCTTCATCCTTTGGAACCCACAGCATTCGTACTCTGTGAACAGAAAGACCTTGTGCTTGTGTACTCTGTGAACTATACATCAGGTGACCTAACCAAAGTACAAGAGCTCGAGCTTGCTGGTCTAGATATCAACTATGGTGCTGAGATATTAGTATCTGAAGATGGGGACACCATGTACGCTAGCAGTAGAGGGAAGGGTGTAGTGGTTGTATACAAGTATACAGGGAAGGAGTATACTAGGGATCAAGTATTTGAACTAGAAGGGACCTGGCCTCGGAGTATAGCTGTACGGAACAATATCCTTGTGGCTGTGGATCAGAAGGGTGACAGTCTCCAGGTTCTATCCTTGAACAAGACAGGATTATTATCCTCTGGACCCATCCTAGACACTCCTCCAGCTCCTGCCTTTGTCATGTTTCTCAACTAATATGAAGAGGACTATTTTTAAAGTTCCAACTCATCTTGTATTATAATCCTACTGATCCTAGTACACTTCAAAATATCATGATATGACGCAAACTGGTTTTTGACAATGTTTTTTTATCATTTTAACAATAAATACACTTTTACTCCTATTAATGATTTCACAGAGCTTACAATGAAACAAAATTTATACATTGTTTTAGGTTGTTATACAGGGTGTCCCAATGAACATGGAAATTCAGTGACGAATTCGATATCGTCTTTTTTAAATACTTCTTTTTTTTTAGTATAGTGATACCTACTGAGAAAGCTGTAAACTGTAAGAGTTCCGTCTGCTATGTTCACATTTTGTTTGTTTATGTTTTGACTGCATACGGTTGTACTTATTAAAACAAGAAAATTACTGTATACAAACAGAGTAAACTTGTCCGTCTTCACTGTTCATCTTGCGGAGACATTATAGAAACATCTTTACAAGCTTTTACACTTTTCATAAAATAAACTCTAGCAGACATAATAATATTATAGGTTTTGAAATTAGGTATTACAATGCTAATTCATAACAAAGACGATATCGAATTCGTCACTGAACTCCCATGTTTTTTGGGACACCCTGTAGTTCTAATTTCTCAGAAACCTGGTGTTAACATAGATAATGGCTTAGCTTAGTCTATCTTAAAGCAAGTTTTCTAGAATTTTTATAATGGTATAAAAGGACCTTTTATAATGGTATAAAAGGACCTTTTTCTTGAATTAATTTACATACCTGATTTTTCAGTTGCAAAAATATAAGCACACAATAATCAATATTATTAGGAAAAACAAGATTTTATTTTTTTCATAGCTTCTTTGTATTCTTTAGTAATGATATCAATTTTGTTTGTTTTTAAATGTTGGCATGTTAAATCAAGTAAACTTACCTTGAATTAGGAAAACTGATTTCGCTTTCTTAATCCTGTATACTTTTTAACATACATCAATATTAGTCTCACCACTGTTTGAGATCAGAGGTCGGAATTTATAAACGTGAGTGAGGTATAGATGAATTGGCCATGGTTAGCTGAACTTTGTTACACTGTTATCTGAATTTTTAGTCTAATATACAAAAATCTAAGTGCAGAGTAATTCCAAGAGTCAGGAAGATTGATATTGTTATTTCCACTTGCTACACTTTAATAAGAATGATAGATTTCAAACGAATTTACAAGATTCCTCTTATAACGTGAAATTTAGAAAGACCCAATAATAGGTTCGATGTAAAGAGATGTTTGGGGTGGATCTATAGAAGATGGGATGCGAGTCAACGTATCCAAGATGGAAGGATTAGAGAGAATTTATTCAAGATGTCAGGGTGGGAGTGTATGTATCTAAGATGGAAGGATTGGAGTAAATGTATCAAAGATGGAAGGATGGGAGTGTATGTATCTAAGATGGAAGGATGGGAGTGTAAGTATCTAAGATAGAAGGATTAGAGAGAATTTATTCAAGATGTCAGGGTGGGAGTGTATGTATCTAAGATGGAAGGATTGGAGTAAATGTATCTAAGATGGAAGGATGGGAGTGTATGTATCTAAGATAGAAGGATTAGAGAGAATTTATTCAAGATGTCAGTGTGGTAGTGTATTGTATCTAAGATGGAAGGATTGGAGTAAATGTATCTAAGATGGAAGGATGGGAGTGTATGTATCTAAGATGGAAGGATTGGAGTGAATATTTCTA